ATGCACTTAGAGAGTATATGCAATTAGACAGTATGCAATTAGATAGTATCGACTGTATTTATTTCAAAATATTTCGCATAGATCACAATAATTTTAAAATATTTTGGCGCCTCAAATTCTTTCGCAATATTTCGTATATATTTTTTGTTGATGTAGAAGGACTTGGCAGTTAAGGTAATTTGTTCTATTTCTTCTTTAGAATAAGATATCTATAGTATATCATCCATATAGGCTAATACTGATATTGGAGGTTGGAGATGGTAATTAGTTGTAGAATATAGACTAGTTTGCCATTTTGTAGACAGAGTATATCCAGAAAACCTGGATACAACTCTATGAATTAGAGGATCATAATAAATTTTCTAAAATAGTGGAGTTATTGTTTCTCTTTGATTAATACTATTTTGAACTTAGTATATATTAGTGAGACCTAGGTTTGAGATAACTCTATTGTGTCAGTTAGTAAGGAGGTTGGTGAGTATATTGACTAGTTAAGAAGGCATAAGAGAGATTTGTAAAAGAGATTAGGATTAACTGAAACATAAGCTCTGCTCATGTTCTGAGATATGAGCCAAAGCTGTTTGGAATTGCAAGCAGCATCTTCTATCATGTTGTTAAGAATATGTATAGAGATAGAAGTATTATTGCCAGATAAGGCAATATAATTGTAGAGAGATAAAATTTGATATTATGTAAATATCTTGTTAAGTTGATTAGTTAAAAGTTTTGTGTTAATTTTTAATATGTTCTAATAAACTTATAGGTCTTGTGTTGGTTAAGTTGCCATCAAAAATAGGTTTCTTAGAAATTAGAAAGATTCTATCTTCTTTTCATTGTTTAGATATTGTATTAGATGTGATACATCTGTTAAATAGAGATGTAATAGCTTGAAGAAAGGGTAGACCTGTATGTTTAAGTATTTTATAGCTAATGTCTGATAGGCCACAAGCTTTGTTATTAGGTAATTGTGTCAAAGTAGATGAAACCTTCTCAATAGAGAACTCGAGGAGAGTACTTTGATACCAATCAGTATTAATATGACCTAATAGTTTATAATCATTTAATCATGTAGAATTAAAGATAGTTTTATTGATATTTCAAGGGCTAGTCTACTAATTAAAATGTTGCTGTATATGTGTTTTGATATCTTGTATATTAGTAATAACATTATTATCTATTATAAAGTTATCAAATTTAACAGAATCTTTATGTTAGTTGAGAATACTATTAATCATAAATTTGGGATTGGTATGAAGTTTATTACATCTCTTGGCGATATTATCATTGATCTGTTGTCTTATTGTTTGATATTTTCTATATTATATGCATGGTAGAGGGCTTTCCATACTTCATTGATATTAGCAATTCAGCTAGGCAATAGATCATGACTAGTTGGTAGTAGTAATATCTTTAGATTATAGATTATATTAATAATGTTAATAGTATTATTAAGGTTATTAGAGATAGGAGTTTCATTTCTGATAGTAGCCTTAATTTGACAAATTATATTGTCTAATTTTTTTAAATGAAAGTGCAATTGAGATGCCTTAGAAGAATATATATGCTGAAAGTTGCATACTGTAAATCATTTATTAGATATATGCTGTAGGGCTGCTGAGATTATTTTTGTTTGAATTTTGTATCATGTACATTCAAGTGATTCAGAGATATTGGTTGTTAGTGGTGTATTATTAGATTTGAGGTTAGAAGAGACTTGTTCGGTATAGTCGATACTGTCTAATTACATACTGTCTAATTGCATATACTCTCTAAGTGCATAAAAAATTTTGGCTTTTAATTATTAACACCAAAATGGTTCTTATGACTTAAATGCATATACTGTCTATATGCATAAAAAAGTCTCTGATGGATGACATGCAATTAGACAGTATCTACTGTATATAGTTGCCACTGTTCTGTATTCATATTTTTATAAAGAAATATTCTTCTACGTATTCTGATGGAATTTCATCATTTGTCTGAGAAGACAAATGAAAAGGTTCATGATAAGATTAGAATTTGGTGATCACTTTTAGTACTGGTATTAGGATCATCAGCGTGATAAGAATTTAGATACTGAAGAATTGAGTAATTGGCCCATATGTAATTAATACAACTAGGGAATTTACTATTACTCCAGGTATCAGTAGATGATTGGGTGTATACTGCCAAATCATATATATTGTTGTATTGTAAAAATTGGATTAGTTTGTATTTGATTGATGTGGATTGTATGTTGTCACTAGAAGCATTAAAGTCTCCAAAGATGATAGGCTGTAGTTTGTTAGGAGTTGCTGCTTGTAACCATTGAATAACTGTATTCTGAACATTAAGTCGTAGTAATAGATTGTCACAGGGTAGATAAACAGAAATAACTCTAAATCTAAAATTATATTTAAATAAAATATCAATTGCAATTGCATATCCATCAAAAGTGAGTATTTTGTAAACATGTGGTTTGAGCCAATTTCTTAGCATAATTGCATACCTGCCTTAGTACTATTTGTACAAGACCAGTAATAGGAAAAGTTTCTAGATTTTTGGAGTTTAATTAAGCATTTTCTTGAGAAATTTTGGTTTCAGTTATGCATATTATATTAAGATTGTTAGAAAGACGGTTGTTTTCCCAAACTTGCTGCTTAAGGTCTGTGTTATATCCTCAGACATTATGAGTACAAATAGACAAGTTGAGGGGTTGGTCTTGGTTATTGTTATTATATTCAAGTATGGATAAGGTAGAAAGAAGGGTAGGCATGTTTGGCTTTGATCTTAATAAAATATTATCTGAGTCATATATTATAGAAAAGATATGATGATTTGGTAGTATATCAGAATCATTAGATAAATATACATGTGCTTCAGTTTTATCACTATTAACAGTGATAAGAAGGTAATATACAAGATGCTTAGCATTGTTTTGTGTTAAGTGTTGTCTGAATAATTTAATAGTTTGTGGTTCCTTTAATAAAGGTAATTGATAGTGTTTAAGATATCTATTGTAGCATATATCCAAATCATAGGAGTCTAGTAGTATTGATCATGATTTGGATAAGATTTTTTCTGTAGTGGCACTTGCCGTTTTAAGCTTGGTTCTCATAGCTATGAAGGATTCCATAGTCTGCCATGTATATTTGATCTAACCGTTATTATTCTGATCCTCTATGTATAGAGGCTTTACTACCTGCCTCCATACCTCATTCTCCTTACAACTACAACAGATGTATTTTTTAGTAAGGTGGCGGCTACATTAATATCTTACAGAAAAACTTAATTATTTTTATAGTAATTGTTCATATTGTCCATACATTATTCCCCTTTAAAGGTTATTTGTTTGTATTTGGGGTGTTTGTGTATAGTGATTGTTTGTAACTTATTGTTTATATTTTGTATATAGTAATAAGTGTCATTATGTAGTCCTACTCTATATATATGGGTATAGACCCTTATATAATCTTATTATATCTGTTCATCTCACATATGCACTATACTAGAAATTTGCAAGCGGTTCTTCCTAATTGATGCCCTCAGCTCATTTATATGTATCCAACTGGAGTCGGTACTCCCAATTATCATTGGTATGACTGAAGATTATAGTATACATTCTATACCCAACATGTTTAATTAAGTTGATATCTTCGTCCCACAGAATCTGCAGATTTTCAATAATTCAACAATCATCTTTCAGTAGGAATTGAACTCTAGACCTGCTACTTGAGGGGTGACAACTTGACCACTTCACTAAGTTGCCACACCCTTTGTACTAGTTTTAATACAGGTAAATTCTATCAAAAATCAAACATTTTTTAGAAGTTAATTTTTTTTTGTTATCAAAATGAATTTTATTGTAGGATTAGTTATATAGTATAAAAACTTTTAACTTTATTTTCTTAACCATTTTCTTAAATATAACATATTTTTTTTTAAATATTATAAATAAATTTTTATGAATAAGTATATTAAACCACAGAATTAACTTTTTTTGCTACAAAATCTCACAGAATTGATATTTTTTATTACAAAATTGCACAAAATTTCACAATATTATACAAAATTTATAAAAAATTTTTATCATATTAAATCACAGAATTTTTCTTAACTGCATGCAAAATTTAGTCTTAATTATCACAAAAAATCATTGTCTCTGATCCAGACAAAATTTTTTTTATATATATAAATTTTACTACATATAAGCTTAAAAGTGCAATGTCCATATTTAAAAGTTTTTTTATTAAGTATATTAATTTTAGATTTCTAACTAAAGTTGTAAAGCTCATCAAGATGTATTTAATAGTAAAAGAGAATTAAAATTGGCCTGGTAGTTCTTGAAAAATCTTTAAAAAACCTTTTATCAATATATAAAATTTCTTTTAAAAAAAATTGAATTTTTTAAAAAAATTTTATATATTGATAAAAGGTTTTTTAAAGATTTTTTAAGAACTACGAGACTAATTTTAATATTCATCCACTATTAGATGCATCTTGATGAGCTTTATAACTTTTGTTAAAAGCCCAAAAATGATTTACTTAATAAAAAGTTTTAGATAAGGGTGCTGCTTATAATAAAATTTATATATAAAAAAAATTTTGTCTAGGTATCTCATAGATTGCCTATTAATTATTAAAAAATATTTTCAAAAAATAAAATTATTTTAGTATTTAAATTTAATTAAGTTTATATCCCTATCTCTGGTATGGCTTCATATCCAAATAATAAATGACTTTACATCTTGAAAATGATAAGTTTTTGATCAAAGATTATTCTAAAATAATAGCTTTACATTCAAACAATAATATAGCTTTTATGCTTTATCTTTTATCAGAGGCTTTATTCTTTATAAAAGACTTTAACTTTTATCAGAAATGTCACCATTTATAAGAAATTTGTCTTTATGGAGGTTTCACAGGTTTTGCAGGCTTTGCAGGTTTTATCATTTGAGGTGGTAGGTTTCGTCTTTTGTCATTTGCTAATGTGGTCTTTATAATCTATAATAGATATATATCTATATAAATATTTAGAATTTTGTAATTTACCGCCATGGTGATGTATTGGTATCCCTGAAACTTCAGGGTTCCAATATTCAAACCGCTTATAATTAGTAATACAGGTAGATTACTAATCAAAAGCGGGTTTGAATGTTGGAACGCCGACATTACACGATTAGACAGTTAAGTTTTGGGATTTTGACGTTCGGAATTTTGGAATTTTGACATAGATCCGGAGATATCGACACATCGCTATAGCGGTAAATTACAAAGCTCAAATATTTATTTTAATATTTGTCTGCTTTGTTTCACTTTGGTAATTTGATTGGATAGATTTATATCACTATATATTGTAGTCCCATGCCTTTGACATCACGACTCTAAGACCAAAACACACTAAAAAACATAAGACAGTGAAGCCTACTTGAAAAAACAAAAAAGATTTGGTTTAAGAACCAATATCCTACTGCCGGAATCTATAATTAACGATACTTAACTTATACTATTCAATATCTATACTTCACCTTGAGCCAACCCCGAAATAGCATTTGTTAAATGCTATCTCACATGCCAACTATTGAATACCAAAGGTTCTACGTCTGTGGCTATTCCCCGTTACAACGAGTTACAACGAGTTGTTCGCTAATTTTTATAAAAATTAAACAAAACTGATTGATCACATGATATCAAAATTAATGCTGCGGCGAAGCTGCCACGTGATCGTGTGCTAGTTATAGATTAGTATCATGTGCAATTAGCAAATACGTATCGAATTTAGATCTGGTGTAACATAACACCAATATCGGTTTAAAAAAAAATCGAATGAGAAACTAACCTTCGACCAATTTGCTATTGTAATCTCGCATAATTTGCCCATATTCTCATGATTTATTTGTATTCAAGTTAATTGTTATTGATACCACCAATGCGATTTTTTGTAAATAATTAGAGATGAATTATTTATCAAAATCGTTACAGCATATCCGATGTTTAGAATTTTTTAGTGGAATAGGTGGCCTTGTAATTATTTTCATTTCTTAATTTTTATATCGAATATTTAATTATCGAATGTTAAATTCAATTTTTTTTTATAAAAAATTTTTATACAGCATCATTCATTCAATCTTGCATGTCCTCTCGGAGAAGTTGTGGCAAGTTTTGATATAAATCTTATTGCGAATGCTACATACAAATATAATTTTGGCAAAACTCCTGTGACGGTATCTCTTATAAAATTATAAAGTTTTTAATTTTGTTTGTTTTTTTTTTTAATTGAAAGATTTTTTATTTTTTTAAGAAAGGAATTGATTTTTTAAACATTAATGATATTGAGAAATATGATGCAAATTGTTGGTTAATGAGTCCGCCATGTCAGCCATATACACGTGGTGGAAAAGGATTAGATGATCAAGATCCAAGGGCAAAAGGATTACTTCATTTGATTGATATTTTGTCCAAACTATCTAATCCTCCTGATTATATCTTTCTTGAAAATGTTTTGAATTTTGAGGTAATATATTCTTATTTTTATTAGACTCTGAAAAATTTTCTTATCTCATAGTATATTTAAATTTAGAAATCAAAATCTCGAGAAAAATTAATTACTCAAATATGTTTAATGAATTATGAAATTCATGAATGCTTATTAACACCTTTGCAATTTGGTATTCCAAATGATCGATTACGATATTATTTGATGGCACGAAAAATACAAGATTTTAATAAATCTGAAAAAGTATTCACACCACAAAAATATTTTGAACAAGCAGTGATAAATACATCTTGGCCATTTGAATGTATGTTGAATAATAAGGAAACTAATAAATGTTATCACTGGAAGCAGCAACAAAGTCAACAACCTTTAGAATTTAACGTTCCTGAACTGAGTAACTATATTGAAAATTGCTTGGATGAAAATGAATTAAAAAAATATCTGGTTCCTGAAAAGTATATTTTAAAAAGCTTTGATTTTAAATTTGGTATGTATATATAAAAAATTTGATCAAAGTTCTGTAAATTCTTATATTATATAATTTTCTTTTATAGATATTGTAAGGCCAACTGATAAAAGAAGTTCATGTTTTACAAAAGTATAATTATAATTGCATTTTTCTATGTACTTGCTATAAAATTTATTCTAAAACAATTTTTAATTATTGACAGTCTTATGGTAGTCATCATATATTTGGAAGTGGTTCATTTATACAAACAAAAAATTTAGAGGTATTTAGTGTATAAATTACCGTATGTCACTGACCAAAGTACTCGAGTCCAATATAAAAAAAACTTATAAAGTACCTTGATTGGTAATGGGTATCTTGTATGGAGGGATACTTTGTAAGGTCTTATACATTTAATGCAGAAATTAATATGTGGTAATATGAAAAATGCTATGTAAAGTACCCGGGTATTATCCTCGGTTAAAAAAAAGATGTATAAAATACCCAGGTATTTTGAGTGAGGGTACGCAAAAAGGGGTACTTTGATCAGTGTACTACGGCATATTTTTTATAATTATTTTATTATTATTTAAAATAAGATTTTTATTATAGTTTACAGATTATGATTTTGAAAATCCAAAAACATTACTTGAACTTGGATTAAGATATTTTTCGCCATTAGAAATTGCTAAATTACATGCATTTCCTTTGAAGTCTCAATTATCGACAAATACAAATAGAAAAAATGAAAATATACTTGATTCTATTAACCAAAATTATTCTCCAAAATTATTTAATGATTTCAAATTAATGCAATCATCCAATTATTTAGAATTTTCTGATGATGTTAGTTTGATTCAAAAGTATAGATTATTGGGAAATAGTTTAAATGTATTTGTTGTCTCAGAATTATTAAGATGTGTTTTATTTTTTAATTGTTAAAGCATTTATTTAGACTAGCAATTTTTGTATTTTAATAAAAATAATGCTGCACTTTGTTTAATATTGATAAAGAGAACATTTATAACAGAATAAGTTTAAATGTATTCGTATCTATTTAGTTATATGTAAAGAATATGTCGATTAAATTGGGATTTATATTTCAAACAAAACTTAAAATATGAAAATAAGTTTTTTATGTTAACTTTTCATCTTACTTTAATGAAGTTAATATCCACTGTGGATTACTGTAATTGGGATACATGAATTTATAAATTATATATATATATTTGTTATATCGATGGCACATTATGTAAACCGAATGTTTTATAAATTATATATATATATATTTCATTATATTGATGGCACATTATGTAAACCGAATGTTTTATAAAATTATATATATATTTCGTTATATCGAGGGCACATTATGTAAAATGTATGTTTTATAAAATTATACAGTCAACTCTTCCAAATACGGACCTGGATCATCTGAACTCTTAATAAACTCTGTAAAAACCGAACACAAAGTTTCAGAACATTTTTAAAAGTTATTATAAAGTTCGGATCAACAACATAGTAAAACTTTAAGAACTGAACTTTTTGTTATTTTTACATATAAGAACGGACTGTTCGGAATAGAGAAAGT